TTCCTCAAAAACAATATTTTAGTAATTTTTGAGATTATGGATAGATAGATACTTCCTCCCACGATTTCGGAATGTAACCCGCCATAACTTGTGCTGCTTTATACATGTACCAGTATTTGAAACTCGCTGTAATATAAGATAGAGATGCAGGTTTGACTGCTTATAAAAGTTGTGAGCACTGCAAAAAAAGAGAAAATATTTTTGTTTAAGCAATAACATAAATTGAACCATAATATTATGTCTTGGATCCCGAATCCATAGGCTGATGAATTCTGCTGATACTTTAAATTGATTTGATAGATATTAATGAAATACATGTATTTAAATTTTAAGATAATATATGGGAAATGTCTATGAGAAAAATTGTGCATTGGGGGGGGGGGGGGGGGGCGCAAGGTAAGTTCAAACACTGTTTCTACAAAGACCCGTTATTGTTTTCTGGTAAGAAAAACAGCGTATATGCTTTACAGTAGACTTTAAAGAAATCAATCTTAAGTCTTAATTTGTATGGTTACTGTTCAAAGCGTTTACTCTATATGTAGTGTCACGGAATAAGAAGCCTATTCTTACGTCATGCGAGACGTGGAGACCGGTCCTTCGGATGAGGCCATTTTCAGGCGTCACACAAGATGTTAGCAAGAAAGATACCTCACTGGTCAAGCACATTGAGTGCCTCATTTTGATGAACAGTGTTGCCGTGGTTCCCTAAATATAGAAAGAACGAGATAGACTAACACCCCATGGTTTGTGTTGTCCTTTAAAAATGATGCAACAGTTTATGAAAAAATATGTTGTCACCCCTGCCACAAAAAAGAGTATTTGTTATAAGCTTTGGGATACACAGGTGTCTCAGCAAGGTAAAGAATTCCAATTTCCGAATTTTCTTATTTAAATGTAACAGTCCAATTTGTTTCCAAAAACATACAGGACATGTTTGTATATATATTTAATTAACATATTTCAAACACTAGTATCAGATGCATTTATGTATAAAAACCTTGGACAGGCAATCATGTTGTTTATTTTGTTCGACGTGAAATTTATCTCAAATTTTACGAAATTTCACAAGAATCGAGGAAATTCGGTAAATGCCCTACTTCTGCACCCTCTTGTGAACCCATGTAAGTTTCAAATCAAAATTAGTACTTCATTTGCAAAATAGCATCATTTTAAACTCTGAACTACAAAATATCACAATTTTTACTATGTTTAGACTTTTGCATCAAATAAATGACCAGGATTGGCTGTTTCAATGCCTTGTCCTTTGCACTTTTCTACAATCTTTTGGTGGTGATTGCATTCAAGTGAAATATTCTCAGAAGGGGCTTAAAGATAAAAACAAAACAAAATGTTTATTTTAAAAAAAAACAAATCAACAATATTTTCATTTATTTTTCGACTCGGAATTTCAAGCTGAACTATAAATATCACCACGTTAACAAGCAAAACCGATCAACATTTTATGTTTTTGCTACTAGATATAGCAATATGACAACTTATCAATTTGATGAATAGGTTAATAAGTTTCTGAAATTATAAAGCATCTACGAACGTTTTACTATGAACTACATTCGTGGCCTGTGTTATTTTGGTGATTTGTATTCAAGAACAATTTCTTGTTGACCCACCATTGGACAATGATCGTTGGTAATAAATATCAAAATGTAAGATCGTTCCAAACACTCACGAATTGCTCTGTGTAAAACACCCATTCAAAAAAGGTAAAACAAGTAAGAATATATCTTTCATTGTGGGTCATAGATGGATTATTTTTTAAAATCATTTGAAGCAGAATTGAAAAATAAATTCTTTCCAATAGCCATTAAACTGACAAACATATAAAGATGTTTATTTTCTGAAGACATTTATCCAATGACCTGTACATCAGGATGTCCAACTCTAAAAAATAAGAAGAAAAATCTTGAATATTTATTTCTGTAAAAGTAACATTTTATTTCATGATATAGTAAAAAAGTTATAAAATAAACAGTATATAGTTTTGCATTAAGAGAGCAAAAATGATTTTGAAATTCTTTTAAATAGAGAAGTTTTAGTAATATTTAACACTTGCCCTGTTAAGTTTTAAAGCATTATTAAATCCAAATCATTTAAAAATTATTGTTGATTTTTGTTATAGATCATTAGTTCTACGGTATTCAAAATTTTACAAGAAAATGGCAAACATTTTCATAAAAATGTTGGATAAGGCTTAAGTAAAAATGCTTTAAATAATGAAGGCGAAACAGGAATTGAAAGTGCTAAACATAATATAATTTCAATATTATTTTAGGAACTTGTATGTATAACTTCCATTTAAAAAATACATGCATAGTACGTGTATCTACGAATGCAATTTTTGTTTTAGGAGAACAATTATTTATACATAACTTAGACGTAGAAATCCAGAAGCTAATGTAAACTTAAAAAATTGTCATATGAAACAAAAGAGAAAAGGGTAATGGTCTTAACTGGTTCTAAACAAAACGAGTAACAATTCGACATATCAGACAAGGATCCGGGCGTTTTTTAAATTGATTTTTCAACAAGGGAGAATTCTATTTTGTGAAAACTACAACTCTTTAATTTTATACCATGCATGTTTGTATTAAAAAGGCTTATATTATGTGTCTTTTTTCAGTCTAAAAAATACAATTCTTCAATTGCACTTAAAATCTTAAAGTATTCTTGACAAACTTTGTACTTGCATGTACTTACTCTTTCTCGCAAATGAAGTCGTATTCATTTTTGCAGTGATCATCATTCCAGTGGTAACCCTCGTGATATGCTAATGTCAAGCAAGCTCCGCCCACGCCGTTGTTAGGTTCCCCCGGGGCCCATCCTTTGTAGGTGAAGGGCATTTGATTTGATATCCACACCCACTGTCCCTCAGCAAAGGCGTCTGTTCCCCCAACCCAAAAGTGTTCTAAAACAAAATTCGATCTGTACATCTTTTAATGATTTGAAAAAAAGAAAAATGTTTCACTTGCAACCATTATTTTTTCATGTTCGTCATTTAAAAGGGCCATTAGAATAATCCATATGCAAAAACCTGATATGCGATTCTGTATCAAATGGGTTCGAAGGAAATGATCCTCATCGACGTTATTGATTTCTGCCAGTATCGAATCAACATTTCGACAAAATGCCTAAACTCAAAGACAATGTAATCGTAAAATAAGCGATCAAATCTGTTTACTATATCTTTTCAATACAAAGGTATATAAAATTAATTCAAATAATTAAATAATTAAAGTTGTGCTTTTTTCCTTTCAAATGAGTTATAATTAATGCATGGAAAATATCATTTGGTCAATATTCTTTTTTACATATCATTATTAATATTAATGCAATCAATAAGTATTTTTATAACCCTGTAGCACTTAATTTCTGGGTTTTTCCATAAGTAAAACACCTTTAATATCGTATCATCCTTCAATGAATAAAAGTTCTGTTAACTGTTTCTCGAGTATGAAATTCTGTAAATTGATGTGTGTTATTTCATTTCTGAAATATTGCCGACTCGGTTTTAAACAATAGACAATCAATCAATCGTGTGGTAAAATCTAATTCATTAAAGTGTGATATTTCTTAACATTACTTACCCCGGCCTGCATCATATTTGCTTTGATGTCCCTGACAAACGCATAACAAGAACCTCCATGCCAGTACCACTGGTCGGGGCAAGGATTCTGAGCAAATGTCTCGAGACTGAGATAGCAACCTGGAAATATACTGAGATAAATTTAACAAAAACTGCTATGATAGCTTCAACCTGACGAAAGTCATTAACCTTACATTAAGATACATGTAGGTCACACGATTACTGGGTAACAGAGTTGTACGAGATAAACATGTTCTGGATCTTTGCTTAAGTGTTCCTTTACATTTGCAGCTCTTTAAATGTAATTTTTATCAATTTTGTCTGTGTGGTTCTCTATTGCAATGTCACTGTTTTTATATTGTAAAGTTTTTGGCACGAAGTTTGAGTGGCAAAATATCAAGAACCTGTGATTGTGCACTTGCACTGATTTATTATCAAGTTATAAGATTACGACATTTTTGACATTCAATAGGAAAAGCTGAATTTTGATAAAAATGAATTTATCTTACCGACGATAAGGAAGAATAGAATCATTACAAATCCTTGTCCTTACTGTGTAATTGTCTCTACACTAGAATAAAAGATAAATTGTCATTCGTATAAGTACATTATTGCTGATAGTATAAGGTCTTATCATGCAAACATAATTGTTCTAGACAAATATACATAAAATTGTGAGTTATACAATTTTTGAATATTGTTTTGCCCGTAACTCAATGCTCATTAAATTCAAAAGAAAATTTTACTTAAATTGCAAAAACAATTTATGTCTAACATTGGTAAATTTTATAGATATCAGTATATCGTAATGAAATAGAAAAATACAATTTTAGATAGACATTAAATTTTACCATTATAGAAATATTAATTTAACCTTAATTTTGGAAAGCATTAACACTTATATGCACTATATCAGAGAAACGCTTTACGTTAACTGTGAAATGAAAGTCTTTATCAATTCAATACTTTTACAAAATATCCTTTTAAGACATAATTATTAAGGAAACTATGGTTAGTAAAATTCAATTTACATTTAGAACAACAGACCTAACAAATAAACAGGTCAGCAAAAATATGACCCAATAAGAGGTCAAACCTGCCAACAAGGTCATTATAACAACCAAAAAATTTACAAAATGCTGATTTTAAACGAGGTTGTTCAACCCACTGTAACATCACCTTATTAGTGAGAAGAATATCGTGCTATATTGTTCGTACTCAGAAAAAGCTATAAATAAATAACGAATAAATTGAGTGACTTAAATACCATCGCCAGATGCTAATTGAATATTGATAAATAAGGAGGTTTAAAGATACCCAAGCTAAAATTATTATGTCGACAAAATAGATTAACAGTGATTGGCAGTTTTTGTCATGGCTTTATTGATCAATAGTCAAAATGAATTATCAATACAATGATGTACTCAAGGTATCAATACAATGATGTACATAAAGTATCAATGCAATGATATACACAAAGTGTATATTGAATAACTGCTACTAAATGTGTACAATGATTGTTCAGTGGTATTCAAGGATATTCAATGATATGCAATAATATTCAATGATATTCAATGGTATCCAATGATACAACAATATTCAATGATATTCAATGATTTGCAATGATATTCAACGATATTCAATGAAATGCAACAATATTCAATGGTATCCAATGATACAACAATATTCAATGATATTGTGCTTTCTATATTAATATTTCTTCACTTAGGGCAGTTATGCTAGTTTAAGAGTTGTTGTAAATTGTGCTTAATAAATAATAATTAATTTCATTACAACATGTATTGGTAACAATCCTCTGTTAAAACTAATGTCCAAATAACTGTATCTCACTTCTATTCTCAATGACCGTGTAGTGTAGGGCAGGGCCGCGAGAATTCCATCGGCATCGAAAGCAAGTTTTTTGACTTGCCTAGATAGCCGAGCGGTCTAGCGCGCTGTTCCTGCACTGCTAGGAGACAGATTCCGTAGGTCGAGAGTTCAACCCCGGGCTGGGGCGGAAGTGGGTATCCATTTAAAAGTGAATTTCTTTGTGCTTTCTATATTAATATTTCTTCACTTAGGGCAGTTATGTTAGTATAAGAGTTGTTGTAAATTGTGCTTAATATATATATATATATATATATATATATATATATATATATATATATATATATATAGTACAAACCCGTTTGAATGAAAAAAACAAAAGTTATATAATATAAATGAAATGCAAGCACACGTGTAGTAAAAAGATAGTAAAGATCGATATGTTGCTATAAATCCCGCTTGAAAAGCGGGAAGATATATAGTGATCAAGATGTCCGTCCGCCCGTCTGTCTATCTGTCTGTTACGCCTTGGGGTAACCATCTCTTATCCACAACTCCTCCTACACAACCGAATAAAATGTTATGATAAATTAACAGATTATTCATGATTATAATGCAATTGTGACCTCTTATTTTACTTTTTGATCTGACACTTATTTCGGGTCACCCAGAATTTAATATTAGCTTTGCCATTATAACGATATGAAAGCTGGGGGTTTAATTTAGTGAGCTCATTGCTCACAGTACTTCTAGTCGTTTATATAACAATTTCATTATATTTCCTTTTAGGCATTTTGCCGTAATGTTGATTCGATATTGGCAGAAATCACCAGCCCTGAAGAAGATCGTTTCCTTCGAACCCATTTGATACAGAATCACATATCAGGTTTTTGTCTTAAATATCTGACGTTTCTAAAGCTTTTATGAAAAGGATTTTGATATTTGACATGCTAGGAAAACTTTAGAGCTGTCGCCATTACGAAAAATGGAAATCTCGGCGTCTCCAACCGAAGTTGATTTTCGTTACTTGCGAACCTAATAAAGTTATCAGGAATACATTTTGAGGACCATGTCTACTTTTCTTCTATTTTGTATACTTTCATGGATCTTTTTTCTCAAATACTATTTGTTATCTCAATATTTTTCATTCTTGTACTCACCAATATCTATGAAAAGAAAATATCACATTTGGGTACTGGTCTTGCAAAATTTTAAATTGCACGAAACAAAAAAACGATTCCCTATATTCTGATAAAATGTTTTCACCAGACTCTATGTTTTATACAGGAACAATAAAAAAAGACGTGGATCACTACAAGAGTAATAAACTATTAATACTGATAAGTTTTGAGTTTGCCCTTTTATTCGGTTCACAAGTACCGAAAATCACATCGAGAATACCGTCTCAGATAAACAATGGATGTGGCGAATTCCCAGTTTTAGTATTGCCACCGGTTCCACATCACCATGTCATTAAAAGGCCTAAAAACGGTGAAGACTTTTGACTTATCAGCTTTTTGCAATAGGATTATCTATTGACAAGCTTGAAATATGATTGATCCTAATCCATTGACTCTTTAAAAGAAGAAAAAATATATAATAATACATGTATCATATATCAATAAAATTGTTTTTTTTTTTTTATTATTGTAGAACACTTTTGGATTAGGGGTACAGACGCCTTTGCGGAGGGGCAGTGGGTTTGGATATCAAAACAAACACCCTTTACCTACAAAGGATGGGCCCCGGGGGAACCAAACAACGGAGTGGGCGGAGCTTGCATGACATTAGCATATCACGAGGGTTACCATTGGAACGATGATCACTGCAAAAGTCAATACGACTTCATTTGTGAGAAAGAGTATGTACTTGTGGTGTCTATAGAACCTTGAAGGAAAACTCCAAAAGAATTAAAGTACATTTCATTTAATTATTAAACTAGATAAATGAATGCCAAACATAAATTTTTGATAATCTTTCATTATTCTAACAATCATTTACACAGGTGAAAAAGGAATATTCTTGTAAAAATGTATGAATCTCTTTTTTACAACTTAAAACAGAACAAACCAGAACACAGAGCCCACGAAATGATAACCCCCATCTCCCGTATGAATTTAATGGCAAAGCCTATGTTTTGCTCTGGGAGACCCGAAAAAAGTGTCAGATCAAAACGTAAAAAGGAGGTGCTCAATTGCATAATGTAATAAATAATCTGTGAAAGTACAGTACCCTATAAAATTTAATTTTATTCAATTGTTTAAGAAGAGGTGCAGATAAGAAATGGATACCCTTTAATATTCTAGAAAGAATTGCAGTATCCATGTTTTGTCTTGGATATCCCGAAAAATGGGTCTGACCAAAAAGTAAAATAAGATATGCACAATTGCACTGTATAACAAAAATTCTATGAAAGTCTCTTGAAGTTTAATTCAGTGGTATAAGAAGAGTTGCGAATAAGAGATTGGTATCCCAAAGCGTAACAGACGAATTGAACGGGCATACAGACAGACGGATGGACGAACCTATAGACGTACGGATAAATGGACGGACGGGCATCCCGACCACACTATACCCTCCCACTAATCAATTAGAGGATATCATTAATTGCTTGAAAATGGACAATCATTTTGTTTCCTTTGTTTTCCTTATCAATTTTTCTTTCTTCTAATTCTTGTACTTGTCTTTCTCAAAGATGTAAGGTACATGTATAATACAGCAGATTTGGATATAACTTGCTTACATATATAAGTTACTACACTGTAAATATCCTTGTTTTACTATGTGGCAACAAAAAGTGGGGAGGGGTAAAATTCCATTAACATTTCCAATGAGAAAAAGTTTTCTCTGGAAAAAGTGCCTCAATGCTACGTGCCCCAATGCTACATACCTGAATTCATTGATATCTTATTGATTATTTTATTACAGGAGATACTGGATTTTCAAGAATTTCTAGATTTGTAATGGACAAGATCTTTAAAGATATGCACATGTATATATCCATGGTTTCCAATAACAAATTAGATATAATTTTAAATTGAGAATGCATTTACAATGTTTTCATAAGTTAAAGACATGTTTTACCCTTTCCTTTGCTTCTGAATTTCATTTATTAATATACATGTTCTACTAGAGAATAATTCTTTGTACGAATATGTACCCATATTAAGTGTCATAAATTTTCCAACTGTGTATCAATACTCTTTTTAAAATACTTATCCAAAGACCTATTGAAGGACATCGAACTCGGTATCTTCCAGATTTCGTAAATAATTAGTGTTCTGCGTAACGTCCTGTTTTGAATGAATTGGATAAGAATTTAAGATCATAATTTTTTAATTTTGTGCCGTTCAAGTAAACACCAATCCTGCAAATTGTTCAAACTTTTGTCTATGCTACTGTTATCTTAAAATGTTGATCTTTCATGGCTATATAATTAAACTTTTCTATTTTATTTTTAGAATGGCAAATCCGGATGGACAGATCATCGGATAATATCTTCTAGAAATTCATAAATTTATCAGGCTGTTAAAAAATGGTTGTATCAATAGTTTTACTATTCACTGATGTCGTGTGGGATGATAATTATAATCTTCAAAACTGCTTGAATAGTGTATCAATTCTTTGTAGACATTGTACTATAATCAATAAATAAATATAACTCATTTATTGCTTCTTAATTATTCTTAATAGAATAACTCTTATTAATTACTCTTTGTATCCGTATATGAACAATTACGCGATTAGATAGAAAAAAATTGTACTCTTTAAACATGTTGAGTATCGCTTTATAACATACCCTTTTTACTGAACATCAAGACTAGAAACTAAGCATAAAATGCTGGAAATTTACGTTTTCGAGTTGAAAAATATATCAAAACAAATTTATTGAAACCAGGAGATCAAATGACAAAGAAATAAAGGAAATTTCGTTCTTTGTTGTTTAGCAAATATTTCCATTTCTAAATTTTTTCTCTATGATACCCCTTTGAAAGTTAGCGGAGTTGATTTCCTGATAATTCTGCCGGAATGTAAATTAGGCAGGTCGATAGGTCAGGAGCTCAGGAGGCCTGGTATGCATGCAAATCTCGTGCGCATCTGTCTCTGTGTCTGACGCTAAGGAAGCCAAATAGATGCATGTAAATCTCGTGCGACTGCCTTTGTGTTTGACACCAGTGGGCGAGGACTATCAAAATTGGCATGAGAATCCTCGTATATTTTAAATCCATGTCCAAGTTTTTAAAGTCTTAATGTACAATTTTTTTTCACAATGAAATTGAAATATAAGGAATCACTTTCTAGTTAGTATAGTATGCCAGGGACATCAAGGAACGATTTAGCAAACGGCATTGAAGATATGGATGATGAAAAATTCCAATGCTTTAAGCGTAGAGGCATGCACTTTATACACTTAAATATAAGATCATTACTACCAAAGATGTCTGAAATCAGAATCATAGCACAAAAAACGAAAGCAGCAGTAATTGGGATATGTGAAACATGGCTAGACTCTTCAGTTAACGACTCAGAAATTCATATTGAGGGCTTCTCTGTAATTCGCAAAGATAGAAATAGAAATGGTGGAGGTGTGTGTATGTTCATCAACAATAAGTTTGCTTTTTCTCAACAACAAATCAATTCAGATGACACAGAATCTGTCTGGGCGGAAATCTACCTACCAAAAACAAAACCTTTTATAGTGGGTACAGTTTACAGACCACCCCAGGATCAACAGTTTCTTGGACATTTTGAGGAGTGCCTAGGGTGTCTAAGATCTGACTTAGATAACATTATTCTTGGCGATTTTAATATTTGTATGCAAAATAAGAAAAATCCATTATATGAAGGATATAAGCATGTTCTAAATTTGTTTGGGCTTAGCCAATTGATTTCAATTCCAACTAGAATCACTGAAATGGGCTCTTCACTAATAGATCATATTTTGGTAAACAATGATGAAAAATATGTTCAGGCAGGCACTATCACAATGGGTCTCAGTGATCATGATCTAATTTTTTGCACAAGAAAAATTTCAAAAGGTCAAATTAAAGAACATAACACGGTGAAGATTAGATCAATGAAACATTTTGATTCTGCTCTGTTTGTTGAAGAACTAGAAAAGGTAGACTGGACATCTTGTATATCATCTGATTGTGTTGATTCAAACTGGAATGCATTCAAGGAAGTATTTTTGAATATTGTTAATAGATTTGCACCTGTAAAACAAGTGAGATTAAAACAGAGAACAGAACCTTGGATGAATCATGAAATCTTAGAACTTATAAATGAGAGAGATAGGCTTTTGAACATTTCTAGAAAAAGCAAAAAAGATGAAGATCAGAAAAATTTTTCAAGGGTTAGAAATTTGGTTCAAAGAAAGATTAAAAAGGCTAGGTCAGAGTATGTAACAGAAAAACTTGAAGAAAATAAGGATAATCCTAAAAAACTTTGGGAACATTTGAAAGATTTAGGTTATAGAAATCAAAAGAAAGAAGAGAAAAAAATTGTTTTAAATATTAATGATGATATTAGTCATGATGACATGGATATTGCTAATCATTTTAATAACTTTTTTACTACAGTTGCATCAAAATTGGTGGAAGCTCTACCCACTGCAAAGGGCACATACAATGTTTTGTCAAATCATTTTAGAGGTTTTTATTCAAACAGAAATTTGTACAACAATTCTCTTATTTTAAGTCCTGTGTCGGAGACTTTTGTGTATGAAGAACTATGTGGTCTTAGTACAACAAAAAGTACTGGTCTTGATGAGGTATCAGCAAAATTTTTAAAAATAGGAGCAAGGGTTCTTAAATCACCTATAACTTCAATCATTAATCAATCAATAAGTTCTGGATGTGTACCAGAGAGTATGAAACAGGCTAGGGTCAAGCCTTTATTTAAAAAGGGTAGCCCACTCCAAGTAGGGAATTACAGGCCAGTGAGTATTTTAAGTGTAGTATCAAAGATTTTAGAGAAAAGTGTCTATTGTCAACTTAAGGAATTTTTACATAACAATAACATGTTGTATGAGTTTCAATCTGGGTTTCGGAGTAAATATTCTACTGATACATGCCTTATACATTTGTTGGACCATATTAGGGACAATAACTCTAAGGGATTATTTACAGGAATGATAATGTTAGACCTACAAAAAGCGTTTGATACAGTGGACCATGAAATATTATGTAACAAATTACACATTATGGGAATTGATAATCAATGGTTTAAGTCATATCTAACTGACAGGTCTCAGGTGGTGGGTTGCAGAGGTGTTGTATCTAAGTCAAAGAAAATTACTTGTGGGGTTCCCCAAGGGAGCATTTTAGGCCCTTTATTGTTTTTATGCTATGTTAATGATATGTCCATCAGTATAGATACAGATTGTAAACTCATTCTTTATGCTGATGATAGCGCTATTTTATACTCACATAGAGACCCTAATGTTATCTCTAACAAACTTGGGAAGGTGCTAGAGAAGTGTTCCGAGTGGCTAATAGATAATAAGTTATCTCTCCATCTTGGAAAAACAGAGTCTATCCTTTTTGGCCCAAGTCGCAAATTAAAAAATGAAGGTCAATTTGAGGTTAAATGTCACGATCATATTATCAAATCCAGTGACTCTGTTAAGTATCTAGGAATCACAATTGATAAATTTCTAAAATGTAACTTAATAGTAGATGAGATCGTGGCCAAGGTCAATTCTAGACTGAAGTTCTTATACAGGAATGGAAAATGGTTAAATAAAAGATCCAGATTAACATTAGCATCTGCACTAATTCAGTGCTATTTTGATTACTGTTCATCAGCATGGTACGAAAGTCTGTCCAAATCTTTGAAAAATAAGTTACAAGTTCTTCAAAACAAAACAGTAAGATTTATTTTAAATCTGAATCCTAGAGCCAGGATCAATTGCGATATTTTAGATTCAATAAATACACTACGTGTAT